CCAAATAGGCTGAATACTGAATAGTAACCGAATATTCGTTACATCACTAATTATTACTAGTCAATACCAAATTTAAATTATTTAGAAGATACAATGCTTCCTATCCAACTGATGCACAATAGATAAATTTTTACATTAAAAAAAATCATCTTGAATCTGGATATTCATTGTGAATGCTATTTCAGTCTATGTAGTATGTTCTGTAAAAGTAATTGAGAATATATTCTTACTTTAATTTTATATGCAGATATGGCATTTTATATAATATTGAGCAAATGTAAAAAAATTACTTTACTTTTCAGTCTCCTTAAAGATTTACTAATTTCCAGTTATTACATTTTTTGATATTTCAGAATAAAGATAGCAAAGCACATTTTAAAAAATGTAATAGCTATTACAATTTCATAAAAAATATGTAATTGATTAGTATTAATAACTTTGTACGTTTTTCACTTGTTACATTTCAAATTTAATATAATATTACAACATTCTATTCTACACTTGTAATATTTTATTAAAAATTTCGTCTAGAAAAATCTGAACTCTCAAGCTAAATAACTCAAAAACATTTTGATAAACTTATGAAAGTTAAAATTTTAAGTTTAAAATCTAAAATATATAAATTTATTAAACTGTAGATTATAATTAAATCTTAAACATTTCAAGATGAGAAGTATGAAAATCTAAAACTTTTTATCTTTAATTTTATATCTTTATTTATTTATTATTCATTATTTTTTAATAATTTAATGTAACTGAAGATTTTCTGTTTAAGAAATTTTTAGCTTTTACAGTTTTTAATTCATTTTAGAAAATGTTTTTGAATATTCCAAAATATTCTAAGAAAATAAATAACAACAATTCTGTAAAAATATTAAAATATTTTATATCTCATCTAAAGAAGTCTAAAACATAACAAGTGAAAAAATAGTAGAGTAATTTTATTAAACTAAAAAATTTTTGATATAAACATAATTACATTAAAAATTTCCAGTCTTCTCTTTAATTTTATAATATATCTTTTCAAATATATTTTTAAACTCTTATACTCTGCTGATTATAAAACTGTTCAAATATATTCTAATAATATCTGAATTTTGAGGTATAAAAATGTTAATTATAATATTGGATGCATATGTGTTCATGTTATATATAAAATACCAATAATGATATAACTAGGAAGAACTAAATCCTGTGTTTTATATATGAATTTTAAGGTTAATATAGAAATTTAAGTATTTTTATATTTCATATTTTTAATATGAAATATAATTATAATATTTTAACAGATTAAACTTTAATAGTATAATATTTAAATTTCTATATTAACCTTAAAATTTATAAATTGCAATGAAAAATCTTTTTCAAACTAAATTGCATATTATGTATAAAAACCAAGATTGTGAAAAAAGAATTATTTTTTAGTTTATTTTTAAGTATTATATTTGAAAATAAATTACATTTACAAAATTTTAAGTTTTAAAAAACATGAACATAATTCAATAATAAAACAATAAAATTATTTTTTATAATTTATATAGACTTAATTGTTAAAGAACTTATTTTTTCTGAATTTAAAAAAAAATTTAAAATACTGCTTTTAATCTGAAATAATCAAATACAAAAATTATTATAAAAGCTGTTTTAATGTATCATAGTCTTCTATAATAGATATGCAGGGTGGTTACAGTCTTGTCACTTTTTGAAATAATATAGCAAAATACAATTTGAGCAACAGAACAACTCAAACAGCTTTTATTCAGGTTTCAATACACCTCCACATGAGCATCATTAGTAGCTTGCAACACATCCAACAGATATTCACTCTCATGCCATACCTTATTAAGCTTATCTGTAATGAAGTTTGGATAGCATTAACAATTTTGTTTTTCAAAATAACTAAATTGGGGACTAGTGTTGTATATACAACCTTTAACATAATCCTGCAAGAAAAAATTCATAGATTAATGTCTGGTGATCATGGAGGCCATAGAATAGACCCCTCTCTGCCAAGTCAGCTATCTGAGAAAGCTTCAAGCCTTTGATCATTGAGGTTTGGCAAAAACATCAAGTCCCAATGACATAGGACACCATCAAGTTATGGTAGAATATGACATAAAGTTGCAATTCCTGAAGTTATAGAAAGACAAACAAATCCAAATAAACATTTGCATTAACTGTGTTTTCTGCAAAAAAGAGGATAGATGATTTTGTTGTGAAGTAATCCACATCACACATTAACCTTTGAGCTTTCACAATCCTGTTTGCATACCATGTGAAAATTTTCAGAACCCCATATTCAAATATTATGTTAGTCGGCTTTGCAACTTAAATGAAAGATTACTTCAACAGAGAAGCAGACTTTAGTTATATATTGATTGTTATCATCAATACATGAAAACAAAAACTATGAATATTAGCTTTGTTACAGTTTATCATGTAGCTAAATGACTTGAACAATTTGTAACTTGTAGGTATGCAACTTCAGTCCTTTTTATAGAATCTTCAATACAGTTGTCTTTGGAATGTATAATTCTAATGGCATACATCAACTTGATTTTCTAGGACTGCACTGGTAGGCTTTAAGCTTTACTTGCTTTATAACCTGATAACACAAATGGCTGGTCAGTTAGCAACCAATCCAGTTTCCTGTAAATTTTACTTTTGACTGTTAATGGAGTTAATGTATAGAGGATCCTTTCCATATTATCTCCTGTATCATTTCAGGTCAGTAACCACTGAATTTGTCTCAGAGAACCATAATTCTTTTGTGTCCTTTCCAATTTTTATTTTGAATGGTTTGCAGGGCCCTCAAAAATTGAGTTGTTGTTCTATTGCTGAAAACTGTACCACCTAGGTCAATTAGTTTATGTTATAATGTTTCAAAATGTGTACAGAACTTTGTGACCATACTGTATATACATACAATAGCAAATATTATTAAAAATGTATAATAAATAGAAGAAATAAATATAAATGACTATTAATACTATATTAATTACTAGTGTAGTTTTTGATCTCATAATAATCAACTTTTCGCATGTTTTTATTAATAAACACTAACTTTGTTTACTTAGTTTTTTTATAATAATTTATTTGAAAAATTAAATATAGTTTACCAGTTTTATGTGTTTTATGCAAAATTATGTGCTGTATCACATATATTTAAATTTATTTAGATAACTACTTTATATGCCCGAAACGTTGATGTATGAAAAAAACGTTCTAACTAAATAAAAGATTCAACTAGCCCAGTGTTGAGAAAAACGTCACTTCATTGTGCCTGTACACAATAAGCAAATACAACACGGTTTCGACAACATTAACTACTTTATATATAAACAGAAATAAAAAAAATTTCAGCTTACTACAAAGTTTAATTTTAATAAATGATGTTTAGAGAGCTCCTATATATACAATTTGTTCTGCTTTTAAAATAATCCAATTGTTCAGAATCAAGTTCACCAATTTATTCTAATTGTTTTAATTAAATATTATAATTCATGACAAGCAAATTTTTTTGTTTCTATTTATGTTTCTAATTTATCATTCAAATATTTATGTAAAATATATAAAAATTGAATCTTTTTAAGTTTTTTGTACATTATTAATTTCTTTAATAAAATATGAATTAATTTTGTAACTACATCTGTGTTAGTTTTGAAATAAATTTAAAAATTGTTTAATTTTTCTGTGAATGAATCATGAATAAATCAAGAACTGTGAATTTTCTTGTTTAGTTAAATTTGTTATTTGAAGTGAATTAGATGTACTGTTTCTCATTATTATATACAAAAAATCATGCTTTATTGTGCTTTCACTATATTGCAATTTTTAATATAGTTTTTGAGATTATGTTTAAAAACTAAGCAAATTTTAAGTTATTTTAATGAAAAATAATCTTGTTGACTTTAATTAAAAGAAATATTAGTTCTAATCTATTTGAAGTTAATGTATATGTAATAAATCCAGCAGTAATAACTGTGTTTAAGAATAGAAATATTAGAAAAATGCAAGTTAATGAAGACAGAAGAAAGATTTAAAAGCACTCTAAACTTTAAATTAGAAAATGTATAGTATGTTTAATGATATCCTAACAATCATTTGCTACAAAAAAATATATCCACAAAATTTGGTTAAATAGATAGAACATGTTTTATTATTCAATTAAATCATTCTAATCTGTTGTGTGATCTGCATATTTGCTAAAATTTAATATTAAATTGTTAGTAAGTGCAGAGCATTTGAAAGCTCAGAATGATCTAATCTANAGTATTGTTTCATACATTAATTCATAAAGGAAAGTTCAAAATGGTAGTATGTATGTGGTTAAAATAAATGGAATTTGAAAACAATTGATAAAAATCGCCCTAAATGACAAGTTACATCACAAAAAAATTACAAAAACTTATCATTTTATATTACAAATTTAATAAGTGAAGTCAGCAATTTTTTGTAGTATAATATAGAATATAATAATATAGAAAATGTTTGAAATTGTCACCCTATTCTAAATCAGTGATCTCTTTTTGAAAACATTTATCAAATGAAAAAAACTACAAATTTTTTCATTTGAATTTTGCATCAAAATATTTTCTAATATACTCCATCTTGTGCATTTCATTTTTCCAATAATGATGTAGTTTTTAGCTTGCAATTTCATACAAAGAAACATTAATTTATATATTATTTTGAAAAATTCAAAAATCACATTTTTATGTGTAATCTCAAAATTTGTAAAAAATTTGGTGAAATATTGGGTAGCAATTAATCAATAACTGATATCTATTTTTGGGCCAGTTCTAGCCCAAAAATATGATTACTTCTCCTGCTACAGTCTTAGTAATTGTTATGAAAATGCTCAAATAATAAATTTATAATTAAAAGCTGGAAATAGAAATGTTATTAAAAATTAAATTTAATACCAAAATAAGAAACTGAAATATATATATATATCAAAAATTTGAATATTAATTAATGCATACTAAAATACAACTTACTATACAATCAAATCTGTTGAATGCTGATTCAAAATAAATACGAGGGCCTAAGGCATACATTTTAACAAGCATTTCAAAAATGAATAATCCTAAAAATACAAATTCTGCATAAACTGTGAGAAAAAGAAAAAGATATATTATATTAAAATACTTGCTAATAATTCTGACATTTATATATTTTACATTTTAAAATTATTTATTAGTTTTAATTTTATTTTTCATTTTATATTTTAATTTTTTAAAATATATGAAGAGAGATTAAATAGTAAAGTAATTTACTCTTTAACCAAAATAGCACAACTAATACATTTTTAATACTAAATAAGTAAAATCCAATTTACAAAGAATATATCATTTCTAAAGAAATTATTTCTCTACACAAACATCTTGCAATTTAAATCATACTGCATATAAGGAACCAGATTGCCTCACTAGATAACCAGTTTAAAATATTCTTTCATAAAAAGCTGTCAGTTAGATATATATTGAACTAGTGTATTTCAGTTTCCAGCTTCTCATTAAGTTCATTGATTGATAAAGGTTTTTTGAAAATAGAATTATTACTAGTGTTGTAACGAATAGTATATTCGGCCTCAGGCCGAATAGCCGAATATTAGGCCAAACTATTTGGCTTGATTAACACACGTACGAAAATTGGCACGCAAACCGCATTATGGCAAGGATCCTGCTCTCTATTGGCCCGCTGTCACTACGCTTCCCCAATCGCGTTAATTCTTGGCAGTTGTAGCAGACAGACAAGAGCGTCATGGCAGTATGTGATAAATGATGATATCAAATGTGGATAACAATGAAATGACCTACACGTGTAAATAACTGAAAAAGAACAGATAAGGACCGCGAAGTGAAAATGTGAAAATAAATATGAAATTGAGTTGATAACATAATCGAACAAGTTGAGGCAGTTTATTGGCACGAAATTCGCGGCTGTCAATGACAAACAATTGTTGTCATAGACTTTGGAAAGCTAAATGCTTGTAATGAAAGTCACTTAGCGTGCACGGGCGAAAGCCTCGGGCCGTTCGGGCTATCGAGCTGTCTCGAATCTGTGAAATCATAACTGTGACTTATATCGACATCCTATCTGTCTCTTTTCTCCGTTATCACCAGGCTGAGTCAGGTAATTGTAAAATGGGAACTCTACGACGGAAAAGTGACGAATCGAAAGTATCATGAGCGCGTATTATGATGTATGCACAGGCATACATGGATTAGAGCGATAGAGGAAAGAGAAAGGAAAGAGCAAAGACAAGCGCTTAAAAAGAGGAATAGGCAGGGTCAGAGCCTCAGATGTGCGACGATTCTAGAACAAATAGGTGTGTATGTGTGCTGATCTTTGTAATTACAAATTGTGAATACATGTGACTAATATTATTTTCTTTTTTATTTTGTGCATGTTAAAAGTTATAAATAAATATAAACAAACAACACTAACTCAATAACATTAAATCTAAGTACCAAAACGATTAATTTACTGTGTTTTTGTTATTTATTACTCCTGTTTTTAGGTATTCGGTATTCGGCTGAATAGTGATTAAATATTCGGTATTCAGCCGAATAGTGAAAAATAGGCCAAATAGGCCGAATACTGAATAGTAACCGAATATTCGTTACATCACTAATTATTACTAGTCAATACCAAATTTAAATTATTTAGAAGATACAATGCTTCCTATCCAACTGATGCACAATAGATAAATTTTTACATTAAAAAAAATCATCTTGAATCTGGATATTCATTGTGAATGCTATTTCAGTCTATGTAGTATGTTCTGTAAAAGTAATTGAGAATATATTCTTACTTTAATTTTATATGCAGATATGGCATTTTATATAATATTGAGCAAATGTAAAAAAATTACTTTACTTTTCAGTCTCCTTAAAGATTTACTAATTTCCAGTTATTACATTTTTTGATATTTCAGAATAAAGATAGCAAAGCACATTTTAAAAAATGTAATAGCTATTACAATTTCATAAAAAATATGTAATTGATTAGTATTAATAACTTTGTACGTTTTTCACTTGTTACATTTCAAATTTAATATAATATTACAACATTCTATTCTACACTTGTAATATTTTATTAAAAATTTCGTCTAGAAAAATCTGAACTCTCAAGCTAAATAACTCAAAAACATTTTGATAAACTTATGAAAGTTAAAATTTTAAGTTTAAAATCTAAAATATATAAATTTATTAAACTGTAGATTATAATTAAATCTTAAACATTTCAAGATGAGAAGTATGAAAATCTAAAACTTTTTATCTTTAATTTTATATCTTTATTTATTTATTATTCATTATTTTTTAATAATTTAATGTAACTGAAGATTTTCTGTTTAAGAAATTTTTAGCTTTTACAGTTTTTAATTCATTTTAGAAAATGTTTTTGAATATTCCAAAATATTCTAAGAAAATAAATAACAACAATTCTGTAAAAATATTAAAATATTTTATATCTCATCTAAAGAAGTCTAAAACATAACAAGTGAAAAAATAGTAGAGTAATTTTATTAAACTAAAAAATTTTTGATATAAACATAATTACATTAAAAATTTCCAGTCTTCTCTTTAATTTTATAATATATCTTTTCAAATATATTTTTAAACTCTTATACTCTGCTGATTATAAAACTGTTCAAATATATTCTAATAATATCTGAATTTTGAGGTATAAAAATGTTAATTATAATATTGGATGCATATGTGTTCATGTTATATATAAAATACCAATAATGATATAACTAGGAAGAACTAAATCCTGTGTTTTATATATGAATTTTAAGGTTAATATAGAAATTTAAGTATTTTTATATTTCATATTTTTAATATGAAATATAATTATAATATTTTAACAGATTAAACTTTAATAGTATAATATTTAAATTTCTATATTAACCTTAAAATTTATAAATTGCAATGAAAAATCTTTTTCAAACTAAATTGCATATTATGTATAAAAACCAAGATTGTGAAAAAAGAATTATTTTTTAGTTTATTTTTAAGTATTATATTTGAAAATAAATTACATTTACAAAATTTTAAGTTTTAAAAAACATGAACATAATTCAATAATAAAACAATAAAATTATTTTTTATAATTTATATAGACTTAATTGTTAAAGAACTTATTTTTTCTGAATTTAAAAAAAAATTTAAAATACTGCTTTTAATCTGAAATAATCAAATACAAAAATTATTATAAAAGCTGTTTTAATGTATCATAGTCTTCTATAATAGATATGCAGGGTGGTTACAGTCTTGTCACTTTTTGAAATAATATAGCAAAATACAATTTGAGCAACAGAACAACTCAAACAGCTTTTATTCAGGTTTCAATACACCTCCACATGAGCATCATTAGTAGCTTGCAACACATCCAACAGATATTCACTCTCATGCCATACCTTATTAAGCTTATCTGTAATGAAGTTTGGATAGCATTAACAATTTTGTTTTTCAAAATAACTAAATTGGGGACTAGTGTTGTATATACAACCTTTAACATAATCCTGCAAGAAAAAATTCATAGATTAATGTCTGGTGATCATGGAGGCCATAGAATAGACCCCTCTCTGCCAAGTCAGCTATCTGAGAAAGCTTCAAGCCTTTGATCATTGAGGTTTGGCAAAAACATCAAGTCCCAATGACATAGGACACCATCAAGTTATGGTAGAATATGACATAAAGTTGCAATTCCTGAAGTTATAGAAAGACAAACAAATCCAAATAAACATTTGCATTAACTGTGTTTTCTGCAAAAAAGAGGATAGATGATTTTGTTGTGAAGTAATCCACATCACACATTAACCTTTGAGCTTTCACAATCCTGTTTGCATACCATGTGAAAATTTTCAGAACCCCATATTCAAATATTATGTTAGTCGGCTTTGCAACTTAAATGAAAGATTACTTCAACAGAGAAGCAGACTTTAGTTATATATTGATTGTTATCATCAATACATGAAAACAAAAACTATGAATATTAGCTTTGTTACAGTTTATCATGTAGCTAAATGACTTGAACAATTTGTAACTTGTAGGTATGCAACTTCAGTCCTTTTTATAGAATCTTCAATACAGTTGTCTTTGGAATGTATAATTCTAATGGCATACATCAACTTGATTTTCTAGGACTGCACTGGTAGGCTTTAAGCTTTACTTGCTTTATAACCTGATAACACAAATGGCTGGTCAGTTAGCAACCAATCCAGTTTCCTGTAAATTTTACTTTTGACTGTTAATGGAGTTAATGTATAGAGGATCCTTTCCATATTATCTCCTGTATCATTTCAGGTCAGTAACCACTGAATTTGTCTCAGAGAACCATAATTCTTTTGTGTCCTTTCCAATTTTTATTTTGAATGGTTTGCAGGGCCCTCAAAAATTGAGTTGTTGTTCTATTGCTGAAAACTGTACCACCTAGGTCAATTAGTTTATGTTATAATGTTTCAAAATGTGTACAGAACTTTGTGACCATACTGTATATACATACAATAGCAAATATTATTAAAAATGTATAATAAATAGAAGAAATAAATATAAATGACTATTAATACTATATTAATTACTAGTGTAGTTTTTGATCTCATAATAATCAACTTTTCGCATGTTTTTATTAATAAACACTAACTTTGTTTACTTAGTTTTTTTATAATAATTTATTTGAAAAATTAAATATAGTTTACCAGTTTTATGTGTTTTATGCAAAATTATGTGCTGTATCACATATATTTAAATTTATTTAGATAACTACTTTATATGCCCGAAACGTTGATGTATGAAAAAAACGTTCTAACTAAATAAAAGATTCAACTAGCCCAGTGTTGAGAAAAACGTCACTTCATTGTGCCTGTACACAATAAGCAAATACAACACGGTTTCGACAACATTAACTACTTTATATATAAACAGAAATAAAAAAAATTTCAGCTTACTACAAAGTTTAATTTTAATAAATGATGTTTAGAGAGCTCCTATATATACAATTTGTTCTGCTTTTAAAATAATCCAATTGTTCAGAATCAAGTTCACCAATTTATTCTAATTGTTTTAATTAAATATTATAATTCATGACAAGCAAATTTTTTTGTTTCTATTTATGTTTCTAATTTATCATTCAAATATTTATGTAAAATATATAAAAATTGAATCTTTTTAAGTTTTTTGTACATTATTAATTTCTTTAATAAAATATGAATTAATTTTGTAACTACATCTGTGTTAGTTTTGAAATAAATTTAAAAATTGTTTAATTTTTCTGTGAATGAATCATGAATAAATCAAGAACTGTGAATTTTCTTGTTTAGTTAAATTTGTTATTTGAAGTGAATTAGATGTACTGTTTCTCATTATTATATACAAAAAATCATGCTTTATTGTGCTTTCACTATATTGCAATTTTTAATATAGTTTTTGAGATTATGTTTAAAAACTAAGCAAATTTTAAGTTATTTTAATGAAAAATAATCTTGTTGACTTTAATTAAAAGAAATATTAGTTCTAATCTATTTGAAGTTAATGTATATGTAATAAATCCAGCAGTAATAACTGTGTTTAAGAATAGAAATATTAGAAAAATGCAAGTTAATGAAGACAGAAGAAAGATTTAAAAGCACTCTAAACTTTAAATTAGAAAATGTATAGTATGTTTAATGATATCCTAACAATCATTTGCTACAAAAAAATATATCCACAAAATTTGGTTAAATAGATAGAACATGTTTTATTATTCAATTAAATCATTCTAATCTGTTGTGTGATCTGCATATTTGCTAAAATTTAATATTAAATTGTTAGTAAGTGCAGAGCATTTGAAAGCTCAGAATGATCTAATCTAATAATAAATATATCTATTTTAAATTAGAACAATTTAAAGAAATTTTTTTTTTACATATAATAACTGAAAACAGCACAATGTAGATTTTTCAAATTTAATTTACAAATATAAATTTATAAAAACAGAAAGTAACATAAAATTTTTTTTTATTATATTTCTCTAATTTTTAATATTAAGAAATATTTTAACATTTATATCTCTAATTTTTAATTATTTAAAAAAAGTGATATTAAAAATGAACACTTACATAAAAAATCTGTTAGCCATTCTTCTTGGCCATGATGTTCAACAGCAACACAAATAGTATTTAAAAAGACAAGTACAATAACACTCCAATAAAATACTTGAGTTTTTATAACATGACGAATATAGAATCTGAAAGAAAGATATTATAACATAACATATAAGGCTTTAAAAAAGCAATTTAAAATTTTTTATAATTATTAAGTATTTACTTTAATCTTTTTTCTGCTCTCCAAAATGCTTTACAAGCCCCTTTATTAAATTTAGCTTTGAATCGGGAAGACCGTGATAGTACTATATAAATAAGCAAGTTTCATAAAATTATAAAGATATTGTATAATTAATTATATTGTTTTAATTTAAGTTTGTTTATTTTAAAATAAATAAATTTAAATTAGAACAACAAACCTTCTTCTTCTTCTTCTTCATCTTCATCTGTGCTTTTACTATGCATAGATTTTAATAATTTTTTTTTTTTGGCAGCTGCTTTCTTTCGAGCTAAACAATAAAATTTTGTATACATGTATGATATGGCAACAATCATATAAAAAATAATAATAAAACAATGTTTAATAAAAACTTAATATTAAAATTATAAATAATAAATTCATACCTTCTATTATATGCATTTTTTCCTCTTCTGTGGTTCTCTCCTCTGCAAGGATGACTTCCTCTGAATAGATAAAAGTAAAAATATTTTAATTCATTCATGCTGCAGCAAAACAAACTTTTTGCAGTAACATGAATGCAAGAAATATACAGCCACATTCTAATATCCAAATTCATCCTACAATGAATAATGTTCTTTGATATCCACTGCAATATCTGAATTAAATAATCTCAGTATTATGAATTTTTTCAAAGTATATTTTTGAAAACTTCAAAAGTGTTGCTAATGAAAATGAGAAATACACAACATTCATAACATTTACAAATTTACAATCACCTATGCATTTGCTAAGAGAAAATTTTTATTACAGTGATACCCAGGGGCGCCGCTAGCTGTTTGAACGCCCGTGTGCAATACCGATTATGCCGCCCCCTGTTTAACTACAATTACCTATGCTGAGCTTGCCAGAAAGGCTCTTTGCCACCCCCTGGACGTGCCGCCCGCGTGCGGTGCACGCCTTGCACGCCCGCTTACGGCAGCCCTGGTGATACCCGGACTTACGAGATAGGTGGGATCGAGCGATAATCGCGTAAGTCGAATTCGCGTAAGTCGGGGTATAATTTCGCAATTGGTGTAAAATCCAAGTTCTGATGTATGTAAGGTAATAAATGTTCTCGTTAATCTTATCACGTCTTTTGATTCATTCACGGTTACAAGAAATCACCGTATAGAGTCTCTCGAGTCTCCGTATATATAACAAACACAGAAATAAATAACACAAAATAAATTGTAACTATGTGTCATTCCGCGCGACACATCTGAACATGTAAGCTGAACAATTGTGTGAGGGAGTAAGTAATCAAGAGCTGCGTGCCGCTCAAACAAAAGACGAATCCAAAAAATTTGAAAATTGCGTAACTCCGGGTTCGCGTAAGTCGGGGTAGCGTAAGTCGAGGTATTACTGTACTAATGTTTTCAGCCTACTCCTAAAGGCCATCATCAGGTTTCTTAAAACCGTTTTTAGAAAATGTACCATAAATAAAACATTCCATTTAAATTGTAATAATTGAAGATTTCTAAATACACATTTAAATGTAAATGAGTTAACTAAATAACTTACAAAAAATATAAGATTAACAATAAATAAAAATAAACTTAAAAAATATACAAGGTTAACAAAATACAAATAAATATGTGAATAAGAAAAATATAAATATATATAAAAAACTATGAGAGTATAAAACAAAATTCAAAATATGATTATAGGCGAAGCCATAATTTAGAGGTATTTACGTTCAAATCTTCTTTCAATGATATATTTCCAGGCTGAAGGTGATGCATTTGCATCTCTCGCATTCAGGCACTGCTCTTTCCTCTTGCTCTTGTAAATCTCTATTTTTTCCCTGTCCATAGCAATGGTTGGAAAATGTATCTTTTTAATAATTTTCATTTCATCTCACTTTATAACAGAGCCTTCCACCTGTGACATTGCCACTAAAATTGTATTACTATGGCTTTTTTCTACATTGTACTTGTGTTCCTTGAGTCTCACCATGAGGTTTCTTTCTGTGACTCCAACGTAATCTTTTTGGACCCCGAGCTGTTGATTTTCATAAGGTATTTTGTATGCTCCAGCCTGTTCTTTCTTTAGTTTGTCTTTATCATGCTTTAGTACGTTTTAAATATTAAAAACTCTTTTCACACTATCCTCAAGTTTTTGTAAGTTACCAGCTCATTTATAGTGCCTCCCAACCATTTGTTGTATGTGAGTTTATTGATTCTATCAATGTTTTTTGGAGACTTATCTTTGTTTTCTTTATAACTCCTGATGAACCCTTCTATAGATGTTCTATATCCTAAAAATGTAGCAATTTCTTTAATTCTATTAATTTCTCTTAAATGACCTGTATACTGGAACAATACAAAAAGTCTCTTCTAACCAGTGCTTTGAATACAGAAAGTTTATACTTATAAGGGTCAGACCATAATGGGATGTATGGAGGAGCATAAGTTGGTTTGATATATATCAAACCAACTTATGCTCCTGGTCTGACCCTTATAAGTATAGATATCTCCATTCCTAAACTGAATGTTGATGTCTAGGAAATGCAAACAACTAGTGCTCTGTTGTTCAAGTTTTAGGTTTAAACTGTGCCTATTGTTGTTAACCACATTCAAAAACTCCTGAACCCTCCGGTTATTTCTTCAAATTATGAATACATCACTTACATATCTTTTATAAAGTAAGATGTCTTCTGTGAAGAATCTGAGGACATATTTTTCAAACTTACATAATATCAGTTTGCATATAAGTCAACATTTACTTTTGTTTGTTTAAGTAGTGTTCTTCATTGTGCGTAATGGATCTTTTAGAGGTTGAAGTTTATGTAGCCTACTGGTACCTACTTGATCTTCATTTGAACATTTTTTTATATACATTAAATATTAAATCGTATTAAAGAAAACACAGTTTGTCTTCAATTTCAATTAATAAATAAGTTTATTTAGTAGTTGTATTAAAAGTTGCATGCAAAGTCTTCAATTTTTTCCTTTTTATTCACTTCCATGTTCCAGAATTTTTACTACTGTATTAGATTATTTAACTTAAGACATAAAATATCATTATTAACAAAAGAGGCTTCCTACCAAAGGTCTCACTCCAAGTATTGACTAGACAAAAGAACTTTGTGCCATTCATTCATCTGATGGAATCCCCTTTTTGGGTACTTTGCTTGTACATATTATTATTTTATTCTATACTGATTAACTAATACAATACTCCTAATATATACCTCATTATATATGTAATATACAATAACAACAATATATATAACACAAAATACATTCTATGACAACCTGACTTTTCCTTTAAGGCTACTTGGCAACCAAGTAGTCTAAAAGGAAAAGTCAGGCCTAAAAGAATAATACAAATACATTAGATAATACAAACAATTGTTCCAATAAACTCCAATCTTATTAGTTCTACACTGAGTGATTAAAATAATAAAGAATAATCAACTTATCTTCCAGAAATATATTTAATACAGACTTTCTACAGCAGTATTCTTCAACCTTAGGTCTGTGGACCAGTGCAGGTTCACAGAAATTTCCTGCTGGTCTGTGAAAAATATTGTGGACTGGCAGGAAATTTGTAACAACAAAAATATAATTTTACACTTGTAATTAACATAAACAATTTTAATTTATTTTTTATTATTGAAATTGTTTAAATAAAGTTCATTATAAATTGAAATTTTATTAAAATGGTTAGATAATCCTATAATTACTATATAATAATAATAATTTTAAAAATTTATAAAATAATGAGCAAATATTTATTGTGACATTGTCACAATGCCGCCAGGTTGCAATTTTTAATTATATTTTTAACTTTTTTAATTTAAAGTACTGTATATGCACCAATCTCAAATTAGTAATGACTTGCCCCTGTACAACATACTTTTCCTGTTAGCAATAGAGTTGTGCCAATCATCTATCTAACTCCTTTCAAAAGAAAATTTTTGAGTTGAAATAACATGACTTACGGTTTGCATCAGAAGCTTTTTACGAGGCATGTTTTTTACGTAAATACCGTTTTGATATTTAAAAAACACAAGTGCAATTTTGTTAACAGTTTTATTCTTGCATGAAAGCCTATACCTTAATCTACTTTTCAACATAATTTCCTCCAATATTAAGGCACTTATCATATTGTACAACCAGCTTCTGAATTCCATCCTCATAGAAACTTGGTGCCTAATTTAACAACCACTGCAGCACAGCCATTTTGACACCATCATCATTGTCGTAATGCTGGCCATCTAGATGTTTTTTTCAAGTGGAGAAACAAGTGATAGTCACTAGGTGCTAGATCAGAGCTATATGGAGGGTAATCAAGTTGTTCCCAGCCATATGATGTGATAAGGTCTTGAGTTCATTGAGCCACGTGTGGATGGGCAAATTGTCATGAAGCAAAACAATCCCCTTACTGAGCTATGCCTTTTGTTTTGGATGACAAAATCGTAAGCACCTGCTTTCTAGAACTTTTGCATCAACTTTTGGCACCAAGTCTTCAGTAATGACAGTCGGTTGACCACTATGCTCTAACCCATTTTCTTACAGTTCCATTGCTCATAATGTTTTTTCCATATATCTCAGTAATCTGCCGATGAATGTCAGCTGCTTTCACGTCTTTTGCATTAAGAAAATGAATCACCTTGCATATTTCACCATCAGTGAGATTTTCAATTGTCTGGGCACTTTAAACACACACAAACAAATGTAAAACAAATAAATGCTTCTGTAATTGCATCTGTGGTTAGCCAACAAATGTAGATACTCAGCGCACATTCATGGAACACCAACTGCAGCATGCATTGCAGCGGCCCTATTTTAAAACTGTACTTACTTAAAAAGCATGCTTCATAGTTAATTGGGGACTCCTGCCACCTAAGCTTACCATATCTGGTCTCAACTTTATAAGTCTACAATTTTTTTCAAATTGCAGTCCAATTATGTTTATGAATGACATTTATCAAATGAGCGTCAGTCTCATGAAAATTCCCCATCCCTTACACCCCTGATGTTACACTTACAAGTAGGCATTTCAGTACCATGTCAGCTTGCTTACTGGTGACATGTAGCAAACACTCTTATTTTATTGTCACCATGCATGACTTGAGTGATCAATGTGCAAAGGAAGCTTTGGAAAAGGAAAAGGATAGCAACACCATTGCAATACACAGTAACCAGTGTCTTGTTATGGCCAGTTACAACAGTTGTGAACGTCACTCATGTCTAAGAAAATTTATCTTTAGCCTTCAGCTTATCCGCAAAATATGATTCCTATTTTTTCCAGTACATAGGTATGAAAAAGGTTGAACAATGCTGTTCTACAGTTAGACTGATGTGTTCATATTACAAATTGCAGTAACTTTGTTGTAGAATTTATGCTTTGTATATAATCTATCTTATTTTATATTATTTATTTATTTTACAAATTGTTTAAAATATTTTTTAAACTTTGAATGGTTCAAATTAATATTTAAATTAAAACATTTTACCAGAACACTTTCAAAATTTAAACAAATAGATATTCTTTTAAGTTGATATTCACATAGAGTTGTTACATGATATCTAAAATTATTTTAATATGTCTATATAAATATCTTAAAAAGTATTTTATCCATTTATAGTAGATTAGTATGTTTAAAGAAAATGTATTCACATAGATGCATAAAATTTTCTTTTTATTGAAAATTAATAAAAGTTCCTAAATAAAAAAAATAAAAGAAGTTAAAGCAGACTAATTTACTTAGTTTCTTTAAAACACAAGAAAATGACCAAAATAACAATAGCAATTCCAAAACAATACCATCAATTTTCAAACCAAGAACTGTTGTCAATGGCCTTGTTGAAGTCGTTATAAAGTTATTTATATGTGAGATACGCAGTGGGTCACTGGGTTAATCCCCAAATGACCACTTACTCTGCAACAGGTTGATAAAACCTAATCTCAGAGTCGTTAGATGGCTAGGAGGGCAAAAAGTGCATCGGTCACTCTGCAGGTGCCGTTTAAAGACAGGAGACAGGTTTAAAAACTAAACAAGCATTTATTTATATAACTAAGCTAGGATACATAGGTTAAATGCAGTTAAATAAGTTCACTATACAAAAGGGCTCTAATAGCTTTAACAGAGAGAGAGTGTTCACAAAGCTCTAAAAAATACAAATACCTCTATGAGGATAGGTCAAATGTATGCTCGTGAAATGCCGTATGAATCGTAGTCGGCACAGGACCTGTAGAATGGTGATGGAAGTTCAAAGTTGTGGTCTATTGATCTGGAGTATGGAGACAAAATGCACAGTTACAAGTATAACTTCCAAGAGATCGCCTTGAGCTTCTGGGAACTCAAGCTTTTATATGTTATTCGTGGAAAATGAGTTATGTGATCGACTTCAGTTGACACTTACAGTGCATTCCGATCAGTTAAGTGTCAACTTTTCCACCTAAGTGTGAAAACAATCGGTGACCTCCGATATACTTCTCACCAAGAGTGTTTTTTTCCATCGGAGTTGTTTACAAAGATAATTTTTTTTCGACATTGGTGTAAAAATTGCAGATCTCACATATATATGGAGTTCCACCCAGCAAAAACTTGAAAAAAAAAAAATTCTGGGGAGAACAGTGCTTAACCAATAATGTATTAATCTTTTAGAACATTAAAAATATTGATATCATTTCTAATGCATTGTTGGGTGTAGAAAGTGCAATATACAAAGAAAGAGAAACAACTTGCTGCTATATATCAAATCTTGTCAAAATTACTGCCTAAAAAAGACAAAAATAAATGGCCAATCGTTTCTTGGTAATTTTTATTTTTAATCTTGAAATAAAAGTTGTTTTATATGCAAATATTCTGATTTCATAGATTTATACTATCAATTTTTCTTCTATCTTAAATTTTACAATCTTGAAAATTAGGTCAAGGTCACTAAACTAATCATTGCAACATTGATTTAATATATATACTATATATATATAATCTTTAATCTTAATTGTTTTTCTAAATTTGTATTATACCAAAAATTATTGAATCAAAAAGGACTCTTGGGACATCCTGTGTATATTTGATATAAATTACAAATAAGTTTTAATATGAAGAAGAATAAATTTTAAAAATATTTCAAATTCAGCTATGTCAAATAAACATAAAAACATTTTAAAAATTTTTGTCAAAATATAATAATCAAATTTTGATATACATAACAATGTAATTTCATTTAAAAATTTAAACAATTTAAATAAAAATTTTACATTTGCTTCATTGTGCCAGTTTTGACATGCCTTTATTCCATTATTGTATATTCTGGAATATACAAATAGCTATAGAACAACACAATTTTGAAGAAGTTGATTCCTAAACAATTTAATGTTTTGTTCATAAAATGAAAAAAAATAAAAAATGATTTGACATGTGTTATTCTTTTATATGTTGGGAAAATTTAAGTTTGTAATTGAAAAAGCAAATGAAAAAATCAAATATGATTTCAAAGGAATTATTTTTCAAAACAGTACTGTTGTTATTAACTTTGAAATTTCAATAATTTACTATGGAAATTTGTATTTTAATTTGCATTGTTTCCACTTGCACTATACTATGTTTTTTACAAATGTGGGATAAGTAAAGTTGAATTTAGGCATAATTATAAATCTTAAAAAAATTTTCAGACTTAAAATTCACCTGCTTTGCATATCCATTCAACATATCCATTGAGCTCTCTCTCCAATTGCTGCTGTCTTCGAAGCTTTAAAAAAACCTGTCTTTTTTCAACTCTTTCTCTTTCTTTTGCAAATTCTCTAATAAAATTTATTGAAGAATCTATTTTTCAAAATTTTTTAATAATGTAATAATTTTAATATAATATTTTCTTGAATACATACCCACTTAGCACACCAAGAACAAGATTGAGCATAAAAAAGGATCCAAGAATAATAAGAGGTATAAAATACATCCAATTATAGAGACTTCCATAGACATCATTTGTCTAATATTTAAAAATAAATTAGTTTGTATAAAATTTTTAAATAGTTTTTAAATAAATAGTGTAAATATTTACCCAATATAAAATTGCTGTCCAACCTTCCATGGTAATGCATTGGAAAACTGTTAGCATGGCAAAAAAAATGTTATCAAAATTTGTGATTCCATAATTTGGGCCATCCCAACCAGGTAAGCATTTTGATTCGCCTGTACATTCACGTGCCCCAGGAGGTGCAGTACCATTTTTATGGAAACAAGGTGTTTCCCATTCACCCTCTTTAACTATTTCTGAAATAAGATAATTTTTACTTTAATATAATATATCACATTTTATTTTCTCTCTCTTTAAATTATAAAATATAATTGGAGAAATTAATTTATCTTTTCAAAACATTTTTCAGAAGTGACAAAAATTTTAATAATTTATAATTTAAACAAAAATAAAAATTATTGACCAAATGTTGCATATCTGAACAGATTAAACAGATAAAAGTTAATCTGAATGATTGTTTTTCTTCTTTTAGATATTTTTTTATGTGAAAAGCTGACATGATAAAAACAAGTTATATCCATTATATCCATGATTCACAGCACACAGTAGTGTTGCTTGAATTTAACTTGATTTGCATGGACAATACTATAAAAAGTATACAAATGTATACAATACTATAAAAAGCAGTAGTATTAATTGTTTTGGTCATACCCTATACTGTGCTTTGTAAGGAATAAGTGTCATAGCAAAAATGTGGTGTTTTTAAAAATTAGACATAATTTTTTTGCATACCAGCTTCGTGTATTGTTAAGAATTATAACATAAAATGTGTTCATTCTTATTATACAGGTATACCTCACCTTACGACAGTAATTGGTTCCAGGAGAGGTAAATCAAATTTATTTTTCACTAGACTAAACCACAAATAACTATTCCCATTTCTGTATTTTATTTATAAATGCATTTTTAATAATATATGGTTAATAAGAATTTATTTTAAGCTTACAAACAAATAAATTTTAGCTTTTAATATCGTACAGAAAAAAAGTAATCTAAATTTATGAATACATGTACATACTTGTAAATGTACATGTTTATAATTTGGTGATGTTTACAGTAGATCGCAGACTCTTTATTTGTGAATGTGGTTTGCTCTAAGACATTATAAGAAAATTTTGTAAGGTTAAATAACAAATACAGTTATTAAAATTATTTTGCAACAGTAGAAAATAACCTAATTTATGTTAAATTTACCAATATCAAGTGACTCTGACAATGACACCAAATGGTAGATATTGGAACTACCGTGGAAAATGCCAATATTGAGCTCTTAAAGACTGCTAAATAAGACAACAACACAGTCACAGGTGTTTTCATATTTTGTTCTCTAGGATTATTATATTAACATTTACTGTAAATGTACATATTTTAATATGATTTTATGTACTTTTAACGCTTTTCTAGTGATATTATGACTTAAATATTTGTGGCAGACAGATGTAAAGTCAAATAAAATGACTTAAACTTGATTTTTATTTTGCCATGTATATTTTTTGAGAAACAACGTACAATTGAAAATGACTCAACTTGAAACGAAAACCCGAGGTATATCTGTATTATAAAACTTATAAGATACAACATAAATATGCATGCTAATTTTGGAATGTTATCCAAATATTACTGGAACAGAACACTTCTATTGCAATGTTCTATGGCAGTCTTGCTGGATAATGATGATGATGATGATAACAGAGTGTTATGAATATAAACCTCCACGGGATAACCCACACCGAATTGTCCCTTGACCTAGTTAGGCAACCCCGCACCTTTGACTTTTGTTGTGTTCCTTTGTCTCTAGTCAGTCATGCATTAGCTGTTGTACACTTAGAACTGGAGGCACAAAGTTACGTTTGTATTATCCAAAGTTATGTTAATCTATATAATAAAGTTAATTATATATGTTAACAAGTAATTGTTTATTTTATGGACACAACAATTGGCAACAAGGATAAAATTGGCAATGATAAGATACAATAAGGATAAAATTGGCAACGAGGATAAAAAAGGATATAAATCCGACAAGGATAAAAGGATATAAAAATGAGTGAACTTACAGAATTAATTTCAACTCTAAATGTGTTCATCAAGAAACTACAGAGTCAGTTGGTGGAGATGAAACCAGAACTATTAGTTCAACGAGTTCTCCAAATGCAAGCTCTAACCTTCGAAACTTACAACGAAATGTCCAAGACCTTTGAAAACTATTCCCAATGACTGGATAACTTTTTCAAAATCAAAGAACTAACCAGAACAGATGCCACTACTGAAAAAGCTAAAGTAATGATATTAATCAATTGTCTTGAATTGAAACATTATCAGCTACTAACAAACCTAATGGCATCAAAAATACTGTCTAGGCAAACTTTGCTGATTAATGAAGTGCTACAAAATCACCTAACACCAAAATGAAATATCCAAACAGAACAGCATGAATTTTTGTCCAGAGTACAACATAGTGGTAAGTCCATTTGAAATTACGTGACTTCATTAAAACAACTCTCGAAAAGTGCAGATTTCAAGTCTAATTGTAACAATGCAAACTGTATAAAATCCATCATAGATCTAATGTTAAGAGTACAATTCATACATGGTTTACAAGATTCTGACATCTGTGAGAAAATTCTACAACAAACCGATCTAACCTTCGAACAGATGCTAGAAATTGCATTAGCCATAGAAGCTTCCAAAATTGAAAACAACAAAGTATATAAAAGAACCACCTTGTTCACAAAATGACCAAAAATACTCAAATTAAACTAAGTTCACATCCTCAAACACAACCATCAAATCAGAACAGAAGCAGAATAGAAGCAGAGTTTGCAGCGGAAACCTACTTAACCCTAAAGAACTTCATTTAGAAGGAGTATGCTTACATTGCAGGAAAAACAATCATAAATCAATAAACTGTACAGTCAAAGACCAGCTGAAATGTGAACGGTGTCATAAAAAAGGACATACGGGAAAAATATGCATATCATCCTTAAGGAAACAAATGTCAACAATTAACAGGAATCATAATGTCCACCATATTAATCACAAATGCAGAATTGACTCATATAAACAGCATTCTAGACATATTTGTTAATATAACAGGAACTGATGACAGACTCCTGACAGAAATTTACGTTAACAGTACAAGAGTCCATTTTGAATGTGACACTGCAAGTCGCATCACTATCATCAGTATAGACAAATTCAATCGTTTACAATTGAATGCACCCATAACAAAAATGGAAGTGACCTTTCAAAGTTACACAGGAGACATTTTCAAACCCCTAGGAGTAGCAAAACTAAAAACTAAATATGGTGGTAACTACAGTATAAAGGACTTGTATGTCATTCCCTTCCAAAAAAATGCAATAGCAGGAAGAGATTGGATTCAGAGTTTAAAGATTGACATCAATGAACTCAGCCATACAACTAATAAGGTCAACAACATTTCATCAACAGAAGTAGAAACATCCATTTCAAAAATCATAGAATGGTACTCAGAAGTATTCACTTCCTCAGTTGGCCAAATACCTAATTATATTTGCTCATTAAAACAGAGATGGTGCCAAATCAATGTTCTTAAAACCATGCCCAGTTCCCTGTGCATTGAAGGAAGAAGTGGATAAGGAATTAGATAAATTAGAAAGTGAGAGTATCATCAAAAAAGTGGATTATTCAGAGTGGGAAGCACCCATAGTTGTTATCCCAAAACCCGATGGGACAATACAAATTTGTGCCAACTATAAAGTCACAGTCAACAAGCAGTTGCATGATTACACCATCAAACATAGGAAGTCAATTGAACATACAAATGCCAATTACATGTCACAGAACCCTATACCCTTAACAAGGAAAGAAGCCCTGACAGAAGACCATGATGATACTTACCATGACTGTTGTTAAACATATCTCAACTGGAACTATCACTGCCAAGGACATTCAAAGAGAATCATCAATTGATAAGTAACTATCACAGATCAAAAACAACATTGTCAATGGCCATACGTATGACCATGAAATATCCAACACAACAGCATTCTGTTTAGAGGACACCACGTAATCGTCCCAAGAAGTTTACAGCCAGAAGTCCTACAAGAGCTACACTCTACACACATAGGAATTGTTCAGACGAAGGTCTCTAGCCCAAAATTACTGTTACTAGCGTAATATTGACTCTGATATCAAGAATATGGTTAAAAGTTGCAAAGACTGCTGTGACATTAAGAAAAATCCAACAAAAGCCCCAATACACAAATGGGAAATACCTACAAAAAACTGACAACGTATACACATCAATTCATGAATCATTATTTCTTTATTGTTGTTTATGCCAAATCAAAGTAACCAGAAATATTCTATACAAAGAAAGCATCAGACACATCCATCACAATTCATTTTCTATGTGAAGTCTTTAATTGATTTGGTCTACCTGAAATTTTAATAAGTGATAATGCAAATATTTTTAAGTCACAAGAATTTCAAGAGTTTTGTTCAAGAAATGGAATCCATTAAAGCTTAATAGCACTGGGACATCCAGCCACAAATGACCAGTGTGAAATATACTGTCACACCTTAAAAACACACTTCAAATATATGAAGTACGAAAGTGATACCTTACATCAGAAACTTCGTGAACTACTATTCCAGTATAAAACGACTCCCTTATCTAACAGGAGAAGTCCAGCAGAAAACTTATTAGGACATACAATAAGAACAAAATTAGATATGCTCAAACCTCAGGCACAAGCCTCCCAAAGGAATATAACTGGACAACCAAAATTCTACAAATTTTATTGCATGGGCGATCATGTACAATCCCAAAATTACACAACATCAGGTCCTTGGAAATATGGTATCGTAGCTGAATGATTAAGTCATGTACAGTAATACCCCGAACTTACGCGATAAATGGGACCGAGCGGTAACTGCGTAACTCGGGGTATAATTTCGCATATAAATACATACAAATAATTTTTAATTGGAACCGGAGACTAAAGAAACAATAATTTAGAAAAAAATGTTTAATAAAATCTTAGATAAGATAATACATATGTATAACAAATTAGGCCTATATTATTTTACAATTTTTCACATTTACTTGATTATTACGCCATAATTTTAACATTGTTTCCATCTCAGCAATAATACTGTGACGTTTACGAATGATGCTTGAATTTAAAGATTGAGCATTTTTCACAGCTTCGAGAATTTTTTTTTTGCCTTTTATAATTGTTCTGACCGTCAA